GTTTGACTTTCTGCAACCAAACCACAGTTTCAGTTCAAACTTTAAATCAAATGGGAGAAACATTTCAGACATTTAGCTGCTGCTTCAGTCAGAAAAGGAGACATGGAGGATTCAGCTGCCAGGATGCAGTAGAAACCTGATCCATGTATCTCTATTCAACATTTTAGTTTCATAAAAAGTTTTATATGGCAACAAATATAACAAACTTTTCAGTATGAAATTTAGAGCAACTTTTTTATTATAAAAGCTAGTTAGCTACTGTCAATCCGAGCTGAGGCCACGCCCACCACACGTCCTGCGGTCCTCCAGGTTTTTCCTTCCACTGGACAGAAGTAGGGACCTTTTCTAAATTCACCAAGTCAGTTCTTGACTAGAACCCTGGAAAGTCTGGACTCGGGGAGAACGGGAGCAGAATAAATCTGGATCAACTGGAACAGCAGCGTACTGATGACATCACCACATTCAAAGCTAGTCTGGAGCTTCATTTCAACTCCTGTTATTTATAGTCTGTAAATAATAATAAATTATGACTTTTATCATTTATTGGAGGAATAATAATGAACACAGTCAGATAAACACAAATCAAATGAAAATTTTACCAAATAAAACAACATATTCTCATTATCAGTTCGTATGAAAAGCAGATCCGCGGACGGACGTAAAACTGGGAAAAACAGTGCAATCATCACTTCTTCATGTCTCTAACTACGTTGCTTGCTGTTTTATATCTTAGGGTTAGGGCTAATTGTAATTTATATTCTATATTCGTGAATGGTGCGTCAGATGCGCATGCGCATACGACGTAAAAAACGTCCAAAATGTACGAAATTACGGTGCATAACTTTTCGTACGATTTCATACGAACTCATAATGAGAATACACTGAATAAAACATCAAACCTCCATCAGAGCCAGCGGTCCTTCACACACGGCTATGCAGAGAGAGGGCTGCTGCAGATGGGCTAAAAGCCCCATGCTTCTGTTCTAACTTCTACCCTAAAATCTATCCTCCAGCCCACCAGCAGAGGGCGCTCACTAGCCGACTACATGAGGATCAGAGAGGAAGCCGTGCTGTTGTCTGACAGCAGCCTCTGTAAAAACTTTTTAAAGGAAATCATAGCATTTAGCATGGTTAGCATGCTTAGCATCTGTCTGCATATCCCGCTGATGATTCAGACCCTCTGATCAGTCTGACCATGGAATGACCTGGACCGTCTCTCTCTCTCTCGCCCTCTTGCAGCCTAAATGAAGAGGCGCCTCTTTAACATTCTGGCCTCTTTCGTTGCACAGATTCCTTCTGACTTTAATTCAATCGCCATAGAGACCCTGACATCCACTTAAAGTCCTTCACTCTGCAGCACCTTTGACTCTGAGGGATGTTCAGGGTAACCAGGACGGTGGGGGGGGTCCCTACACAATGTTAAATCTCTGAGGTTTAGACCGGTGATCATTGCTTCATTCCTGGCTATCAAGGAGTGGGGTTTGATTAAATGTGAAGATGGCCTGCCGTATGTCTCACCCTCTCCTCAGCAGCGTCCTCCGTCATCAGCTCATCTCTCTCCAGAGAAAGCAAAGCGCCGTCCACTCTGGACAGGCGGCTGCACAGAGACAGCAGCAGGTTGACGATCCTCTCCAGATCTCCTGCAGAAAACAACAACCTCATCAGCTGAGTCCAACCCCCCCCCCCAGCTGGTAAAATGGTCGTGAAGCAGGTCTCCAGGCAGGTTTCCTACCAATGTAGATGCTGTACTTCTCCTTCTCGTTGGTTTTGAGCTGTTCCTGAATCAGCGCCTCCACGTTGGCACCAAGGGCCCGGTGGCCCCTCTGCTCCTCACACAGAGCCTTCTTCTCACGCTGCAGGGCCTCCAGGTTGATCCGCAGGGCCTCACAGAGCTCTACCTGGTGGACATGAACGCAAATAGCACCCTTCTTTATTTCAGCCAATGGCTGAAGTCTGACAGTTTATGAACCTCTAAAGACCATTAAGGGTCAGGATAGAGATAACCAAACACATTCTTTATCTTCTTACTTTAAATTTTGTTTGTTACTAGTTTTCTTATTTCTTTCAGTTCTTAATCATTTTATGATAATTTACATTCATCTGATATTGTCAATAACGCTTGTTTTTAGGATATATTTTAAAGTTATGCTGCCTTCCTTATTTATTTTTTGTTCCATCTCCAGTTTTTATTTGTTGCAGACAGAATTAGATGCAGCTTGCTAATCTGACTCAGACATCGTTAACGTGTTGCGGCCCTTTAATTGGTTTTAGCTCAATTGTTTGTGAGGTTTAATCTGAGGGTTTTAATCGCTCCTTTGCTTTTTTTTTTATATATCTTATTGGAAAGTTAGATGTTTACCTTCCTGGTGTTCAGGTCCGTCTCCTCATCCACATCAGTCTCCCCCCGTTGGTCTGCATCAAAGATATCAGGCTGAATCCTTGGAAATCAAAACAACAGATTAATAATCCAGAAAATAATCAGATTTAAATCCGGATTATCAAACAAGCAAAAAGACAAACTGTTTTTTTTTCTTTGATTTAAATCAACTTCATTTCCAAGTAACTGCAGATTATTTTCTGATAAATTATAATAATTCACTGAAAAATTTTCCTTCAATAAATTCAGATTTAGAAAGAAGAATAAAAAAACTTAAATAATTTACATAAAAAAATGAAAGAAATTTGGTTCTTTTTTTCTAAGAGAAAAAATAATTAATTAAAAGTAAATTTAATGTGTGACATCATTTTAGCTTTAACAAATACAGTGAGGAAAATAAGTATTTGAACACCCTGCTACTTAGATTGTCATCGTAGCTGTTTAGCTGACATGATCTAAAAAAATAAAAACTGAAATCACAATGAAAGATTTTTTTAACTATCGTATTTTTCATACGAAAAGCTGCTACTTTTTCGCCAAGCTTTGAACTCTGCCTCTTATCGTCGTCTTTTCAAGGAATTCTTCATGGTTTTAATGACATCAGCGGATGTTTTGGTTTGTTGCGTCGTACGGCTATCCTTTACCTGGCAGAAGGTCACGTGATCAGACACACAGTATCCATGGAAAGGAGTGGTATGTTGGTCACATGTCCGTCCGCCAGGCAAAGTAGTGCCGTACGACTGAGCGCGAAAAAGAGCAACTGCAGCGACGTCAGTTGGTTCAAAGTAGCGCTATAGGTTCAGGATGATCAACAGTCACTAAAACTGCTCGCATGCGAAAAAAAGCAAGTTTTCCCCAAGTCTGCCAGTGGATTCTGACGGCGTGGAGAAGTGTCAAACATCCATGATCACCAGTGGCGGTTCTAGACCAAATGTACCAGGGGGCCAGGAGGGGGCCAGGGGGGGCCATCGGGTTTTCATGGGGGAACAGTAAAGCATGAAATAAAAAATATATTAAGAGAGCTGCATGAAGTCAAATTTCTATTCAATTAGGTTTAATTAAATTTCTATTTCTTATTAGGTCCATATATATTCACAAATTAGCAATTTTACATATTTTCTCTCAAATCTGAATTAGAATTCAAGAAAAACTGATAAATTTGGCTGTAAAGATTGGAGTATTGTTTAAAAATGTGTTTTGAAAAAAACATTTTAGATGAAAGCTGGGATCCGATCTCAAAATAGAATTTTTTGGTCATAATTCCACAGACCGTGTTTGGAGGAAAAAGAATAACCAGCACCATCCCAAGAACACCTTCCTTACTGTGAAGCATGGGGGTGGTAGCATCATGATTTGGGATTGTTTTTCTGCACATGGGACAGGCCGACTGCACTGTATTAATGACCTCTCCTTATTACAGCATTGAAGATGGATGGAGGCAGGGTCTTCCAGCATCACCATGGCCTGAAGCACACAGCCAGGATAACTAAGGATTGGCTCTGGAAGAAGCAGATCTAGGTTCTGGCGTGGCCTAGCCAGTCTCCAGACCTAAACCCAATAGAGAATCTTTGGAGGGAGCTCAAGCTCTTTGGTTCTCAGCGACAACCCAGAAACCTGCCTGATCTGGAGAAGATCTGAGTGGAGGAATGGGCCAAAATCCCTCCTGCAGTGTGTGAAAACCTGGTGAAAACCTACAGGAAACGTTTGACCTCTGGACCAAATATTACATTATTATTAAAACATTGATTTTCTCAGGTGTTCAGATACAGTTTTATCATACCAATAAATAGTAAAAAAAAAAAAATCATATATTATGATTTCAGAATATTTTTGTTTTTTTAGATTATGTCTCTCACTGTGGAAATGCACCTACAGTGATCATTTCAGACCCTCCATGATTTCGAAGTGGGAGAACTGAACAGTTGTGAAAGAAACAGTTTTAAAATGACACTTTTTACTAAAACTAAATTATAATTAAGATAAAATCTAAAACAATTAACTGATTACAAAATAATTATTTTCAACTTTGCATCGTGAAACTATTTTAAGGCTGATTAAACATGTTCTCTAATATCTGACTGGAAATATGTGAAATTCTGTAGAGAAATCTTAAAAAGCAGAAAAAGCTTCAAAAGTGGCCGAATTACAACAGAGATAAAGTTTTTCACACGTTCGACTGCAGCTGTTGTTCTAAAAGGAGGAAAAACCAGTTTACTTTTTCAAACCAGGACTGGGTGGTTTGGACTTTTTGCTCCTTCATAAAAGACTAACTTCATTTAAAACACAGAAATATGTTTAACTTGTTTGTCTTACATGCAAATTAGTTTGGTCTGAAACATCTGGGTGTGACTAAAGTACAAAAAATCATTACATTACTTTATTTGATGAATGACTAACATTTACTTTTAAATGTTTTCTTTATTTATTTACTTAGTCTTTTTAAATTGAATGAATAAAAACATTTATTTGCTCAGTGTATTGACTTATTTATGAATATAAATGGACCAAATGTTAGCAGTTACAGCAGCTGACCACTAGATGTCAGTGTTGACCAACAGCAGAAGGCCACCAGGTTCTCCTGAGCTTTTCTTTGTCAGATTGTCTCCATTTTACTGTCACTTTCAGGTCAAAGTGTGTTTTTGAGCGTGAGGACATTTGAGGGAAGGCTGAGGAAACGTTTGGAGGCTGAAATCTGGCTGCTGTGAAGCAGTGATCAGGTTAGTCTGGTCTCTCCAGTCTTTCCTGAAGATGCCACCTCAGACTGGCTCTGACAGTCAGCCAAGAAAAACACTCTGTGACCTCCAGGTTACCTCATCGCTCCAGCTGACAGCGAGTTCTGAAGGCTTTACATCCCCTCAAGCTAAAGTGTTGACTTCCGGTATTGAAATGTTGTTCTTTCACTGAACATCGAGTTCATTAGAAACCTGTTTTCTAATTAGAAACATGTTTCTAATGAACATCGAGTTCATTAGAAACCTGTTTTCTAATTAGAAACATGTTTCTAATGAACATCGAGTTCATTAGAAACATGTTTTCTAATTAGAAACATGTATCTAATGAACATCCAGTTCATTAGAAACATGCTCAGCATGTCGCTTTCTTTTCAGAGGTCTTCCTCCGCTCCGTCAGCAGCGATAAGGAGTTTGTCAGCGAACACAATCTGAGTGATAAAGGCTTTTTCTTCAAGGTTTCTCCCTGATCTTCGGCTGCTTAAAGCTCAGCCTGCTGTCGACCTCAGCAGGTATAAACATGCTGATTGTGACCTTCTGTCTGACACAGAAAACTGACACAGCTGCAGCTTCTACCTGAACACTAACAAACGTCGTCCTGATTAAAACCTGCTTAAGGAGCAATCAAACCCAAGACTGGGAAATAATCTTAGTATCTGTCCAGAAAAAAAACTGTCTGAAGTCTAAGATCAATTTGGAATAATAAATATTCACTTTCATTTAAAGCTTCACGTTAAAGACTCTGGTTTTTATGTTTAAATCACTTTTTTTTTTATATCCTTCAGCTTTCTTTTGAAAGAACTCCCAGTTTAAAGACCTTCATTTTGAAAGTCTGGGCTAAAAGTATTGCTTTAAATGTTTACGCTCTTATTTTGAAGGTTCTGTTAAATCCTCATTTGTAAATGTGTAAACCCCTAAAATTAGTCAAAGCACAAAATTGAGACCAACACACAAAGAACAAAGTATAGAAAAAATGCTGCAATCATGTAAAACTGAGCTGCAAATACATAAATGTTGTTAATACAGAAAACACATGCAAAGCAAAAAGTAGCAAAAACAAAGCTTTTTAAAAGGTAAAAGTCGTAGTATTGTCTATGTTCTGGTCCCATATAAGCGGATAATCATCGCCCCCTAGTGGTCTGGAGTATTTTCATTAGAAAGTTGTTTTAACTACAGGTGCTGGTCATAAAATTAGAATATCATGAAAAAGTAGATTGATTTCAGTAATTCCATTTAAAAAGTGAAACTTGTATATTATATTCATACATTACATACAAACTCATATATTTCAGATGTTTATTTTGTTTAATTTTGATGATTACAAATGACAACAAATGAAAATCTCAAATTCATCATATCAGAAAATTAGAATATTGTGAAAAGGTTCAAAATTGATGGCCCCTGGTGCCACACTCTAATCAGCTAATTAACTCAAACCACCTGCAAAAGCCTTTAAATGGTCTTTCAGTCTAGTTCTATAGGCTACACAATCATGGGGAAGACTGCTGACTTGACAGTTGTCCAAAAGACGACCATCGACACCTTGCACAAGGAGGGCAAGACACAAAAGGTCATCGCTAAAGAGGCTGGCTGTTCACAGAGCTCAGTGTCCAAGCACATTAATAGAGAGGCGAAGGGAAGGAAAAGATGTGGTCGAAAAAAGTGTACAAGCAAGAGAGATAACCGCACCCTGGAGAGGATTGTGAAACAAAACCCATTCAAAAATGTGGGGGAGATTCACAAAGAGTGGACTGCAGCTGGAGTGAGTGCTTCAAGAACCACCACACACAGACGTATGAAAGACATGGGTTTCTGCTGTCGCATTCCTTGTGTCAAGCCACTCTTGAACCACAGACAGCGTCAGAAGCGTCTTGCCTGGGCTAAAGAGAAACAGGACTGGACTGCTGGTGAGTGGTCCAAAGTCATGTTCTCTGATGAAAGTAAATTTTGCATTTCCTTTGGAAATCAAGGTCCCAGAGTCTGGAGGAAAAGAAGAGAGGCACTTCATCCACATTGCTTGAAGTCCAGTGTAAAGTTTCCACAGTCAGTGATGGTTTGGGGTGCCATGTCATCTGCTGGTGTTGGTCCATTGTGTTTTCTGAGGTCCAGGGTCAACGCAGCCACATACCAGGAAGTTTTAGAGCACTTCATGCTTCCTGCAGCTGACCAACTTTTTGGAGATGCAGATTTCATTTTCCAACAGGACTTGGCACCTGCACACAGTGCCAAAGCTACCAGTACCTGGTTGAAGGACCATGGTATCCCTGTTCTTAATTGGCCAGCAAACTCTCCTGACCTTAACCCCATAGAAAATCTATGGGGTATTGTGAAGAAGAAGATGCAATACACCAGACCCAACAATTCAGAAGAGCTAAAAGCCACTATTAGAGCAACCTGGGCTATCATAACACCTGAGCAGTGCCACAGACTGATCGACTCCATGCCACGCCGCATTGCTGCAGTAATACAGGCCAAAGGAGGCCCAACTAAATACTGAGTGCTGTACATGCTCATACTTTTCATGTTCATACTTTTCAGTTGGCCAACATTTCTATAAATCCTTTGTTTTTATTGGTCTTCAGTAATATTCTAATTTTCTGATATGATGAATTTGAGATTTTCATTTGTTGTCATTTGTAATCATCAAAATTAAACAAAATAAACATCTGAAATATATGAGTTTGTATGTAATGTATGAATATAATATACAAGTTTCACTTTTTAAATGGAATTACTGAAATCAATCTACTTTTTCATGATATTCTAATTTTATGACCAGCACCTGTACTTGCTGCATTTTTACTCTCCATGTTTTTGGTGTTAGCATTGTGTATGTTTGCCATTCTTTGCCGAACCTTCTGAATTTGGTGTGAAATCAAAAGACATTTGCACCCCAATTTGACCAATCAGAGGCCTCCTGTCCTGTCTACTCAAAAAAACTAGATTTATGTTTAAATCGGAAGCTGATAGAGTTAGCTCCAGGACGTAGCGTCGGATCCCATTTCCTGTACTGATCGGGCACAGAGTGATAAAACAGAAAGGATTTTAAGGCCTTTATTTTCTCAGGAAATACATTATTAACCTTTAAGACGTTATAGTTTATAGTATAATTTTTATGGAGGGAAAAACGTCATTTAGGTCTTTTTAACAAAATAAAATTGAGGGCGACCCGAATGTATATCTGGATACGTAAATAAGCTGATAACGCATGCGCAGGACGGATCGTGCTTATAGGACGGATCGGGTAGTGACGGGTGCAGCAGAGTGTCTACGGAAGGGGCGAGGCATATCTGCGTTAACGGCAACACATGCAGACGACCTGGTTTCTGAGCATAAACCAGCCTTAAAGGGTCACTGGCTTCTAAGCTGCAAACATTTGTAGGATTTTTTCAACTCTGCAGGATTAGCAAACCGAAAAATCCAGACAGAACCAGAATAATCCTGAAATATTCCTCGACTCACGTCATGTATTCCGGCTGGATCTAAAGGATTAAATCAAAAACAGCAGTTTCACCTGGAACTCGTATTATTGTAAGGTCTGAAGCACCTTTCACTCCGGGATGAACCGCCTTTCTGCTCCTCCTGGGCTCCAGCAGTCGGGCTGCTGTTGGAAAAGATCTCCTCCATCAGCTTCATAGTGCTCTCACCCCCCCAGGTGTCCAGCAGGGGCGCCAGAGAGCGCTCCTGCAACACCTAAACACCAGAACACAGAGCAAAAAAACAAACATTAAGCAGATTTAAGCAGCAATAAATCACATTCTGCTCAGTTTGAAGTGAAATCCACTTTTTTTTTTTCAGAAGAACATTTAAAAAACAACAAAACTGAACTAAAAAAAGATCATCCATCAGAGAATCTGATCTAATACCATCCATTTAGTTTTAGTTATTTTTTTGCGCTCTATAAAAGCTACCAGGAGTCAAACTACAGACCAGCTGACGAGCCAGCGCCTCCACTCTCAGCTCTTCTGCTGTCTTCTCCCTCTTGGGCAGCGGGTCGTACTCAAAGACGAAGACGTCCTCGGCGTCGGTGGACGTACCGACGGAGCTGGACGGCTGCGGCTTTGAGGGAGGAGGGGACTGAGCCAAGGACCTCAGGGCCGGTTCAGAGATGTTCACGGCCTCTGGGTCAGAGCTTTGAAGAGCAGAGGGACAGTTAGTGGGCAGAAGGTTAAACGGTTAATCTGGATGTTTGGGAACAAACCTCTGTAACGGCTGATGTTCAGGTTCCATCTCAGCTGGAGGAGGTGGGGGAGGAGGAAAGTCCTCCATGATGTCCATGTCCCTGAAGGGTGGCGTTAGAGGAGGGGGAGGAGGAGGTGAAGGATTTTGGAGGAAGACCTCATCAAACTCCCCCTGAAGGTTTCCCGTTGACGTCTGCAGCTCCTGCTGCTCAAAGTATCCGAGGAGGCTGGATTCAGAGATCCTCAGGGAGGACAGGTGTGGATGGGCTACCTGATGGGAGGGTGTGGGGCTCCCACTGGTGTATGGTGGTGGGGCCGATGTGACTGGTGAGACTGGTTTGCTGTTTTCAGCAGTACTTCCTATCAAGTCCAAACTGAGGGCCCTGCCTCGGTGTCCGTCCCTCGACGCTTCGTCTAACATTCTGCCGTCGCTCAGACTGTGTCTCGTCGGTCTGTCTCCGTTTCCACCAGCAGCGTTTTTCCCTCGTTCTCCATCACTGGTCGGCTGGACCTCCGGGAAAGAAATGGAGTCCAGGTTGGCCTGGCTTAGCCTCTCAGCAGCTCTCCACTCAGCAGCGCCACCTTCCTGCTGACGTTCAGCAGGAGAGAAGGGGCAGGGGAGGCCGACAGAGGCTGCTAAGGTGGAGGTGCTGTAGGCTTTGAGACGTTCCGTGTTCCTCTGTCGCTCCCTGCGACTGACGGGAGGGTGAGAGACGTCTGGAAGCAGAGGAGAGAAAAGATCCCAGCCTCAGTTTGGAGGGAAATTATTTAATACTGTTAGATTTCTGAGTGCATTAACCAACTCACCTGGAGAAGACGCTGCAGGCTGGAGATCGCTGTCCCTGTGCTCGGAGGACTGAGGAGGATTAAGGCTCTCTGATGCGTGGATGTCCACAGGTCTGACAGACAAAGAAATAAAAACATTTTAATGTTAATTAGACCTTATGTGTAAATGATATAGCAGGCCTACAAGAATCAACTAAAATGTTTACAATCAGAGGTGATATTAAAAATGCAAATAGCTTCTGTGCATCTTTTTAAAATGTTCTCTTAACTTCCTGTCCTTCATTTGATTCTCTTTTTTATCTTGGGTAATGTTATTCTAACTCCAGCTCCCCCTGTTCTCCACCGTTTAGACAACATTAATCATGTATTCTTGTCTTTCAAATGAAAACAAAAATTCCTCCATTCTCTGTAGCTCTTTGACCCCTAAATGTTTAACCATATGGAAAATGGTAAATAATGGAAATAAATAAAGAGTTTCAATCTGCATCTATTCATTAATCTTCTATTAGGTGTGTTCTCTTCTCCCTGAACTTAATTTTCCAGCAACATTTTAGTCTGTTAGCTGGGAAACATAAAGCTGGGCAACATAAAGCACGTAATAAGAAGGGTGGCCAGCACTCATCCCTAAGGAACACCTCACCCACATATTTTTGAAGAAATTGGAGAAATCAATTTGCTGTGGGTTTAAAATGCAAACTTCTAATTCAGAACCAGGTGGATAAAAAT